CCTCTGCACCTCCCCCCAACTTGCGCCTGAGTGCACCCTCTGTCTCAAAAGAAATAAGAACGATGTTTAAAACAGTATTTATGGACTTCAAGGTTTTCAAAATAGAGATAAATATGTAACAATAACTCTATATGAATAACTATATATGAATATATGACTTGATTTAAGATGAGATAACACCAAAATAGTTGCAACCACTTCACAAATATTTGGGGGATACCTCTTAGCTCAGCTTCCTTCAAGCTATTTCTGTCATGTGAAACAATTGTATTTACTGCTACACTGATGCTCCTTCCCTCTGCATATATATTTTCCTTTCAATATTTGGATTAGTGGTGTATATACTTTTGAGCCTTTTCACAAATGATCATTAACATTGTTCTATGTTATTTTTTCACATATTCTTTTATTGGCTGCAAAGTATTCCATCATCTAAATGTGCCATAATTATTTAATTAGTCCCAACTTTCAAACCCTTAGGTCAGTTCTGATTTTTCATTGTCATAATTAACCTATGACATTCTTATATCAAAATGTTACAGGATTTCTTCTCCTTTACTGCCCACGGTTCTTGGTCATGCTGCTTAGAAGAATGAAGAGGTAGACCAGACAGACGAACAGTGGTGGGCAGCAAAGCAAAGCTTATTTGAGCGATAGTACAAAACTCCTGAAGAGGGAGGGGACCTGAGAGGGTTGCCGATTTGGCATTTAGATCTAGGTATTTTTGTTTTTGTTTTTGTTTAATGATTTTATTTATTTATTTGACAGAGAGAGAGCGAGTGCGAGCACAAGCAAGGGGAGCTGCAGAGGGAGAGGGAGAAGCGGGCTCCCTGCTGAGCAAGGAACCCAATGTGGGGCTCAAGCCCGGGACCCTGGGATCATGACCTGAGCTGAAGGCAGATGCTTAATGGACTGAGCCACCCAGGTGCCCCAAGATCTAGGGGTTTTTTGTTTTTTTTTTTTTAAAGATTTTTATTATTTATTTGACAGAGAGAGAGATAGCGAGAGCAGGAACACAAGCAGGGGGAGTGGGAGAGGGAGAAGCAGGCTTCCTGCCGAGCAGGGAGCCAGATGTGGGACTCGATCCCAGGACCCTGGGATCATGACCTGAGCCCGCTTAACGACTGAGCCACCCAGGCGCCCGATCTAGGGGTTTTTATGGGCTCTTTGTTGTAGGCTGTTTTAATCTGATTAACCCTCTGTGTGCCGGTCATCCAATCAGGTTTTTGTCATCTACCTAACATGTGGGAAAGGGTAGAGGGCTCCTTCCGGGGTGGTGTAAAATCCTTTTAAGGGTGGTTTCCTCTTGGGGGGGGGGCTTTTCCCTGCCTGCCTGTCTTTCAACTATCCTTTATGTTATAAGCATTTCTAATAAATTCCTGAGGATAAATTCTTAACAAGTAGAATGTTTGGATCAAAAAGTAGGAATGAACTTAAGGTTTTTGATGAGTATTGCCAAACCAGTGCATGCCCTTCTCAGTGATTATTAAGGGCTTTTATTTTTCCTTGTCCTTACCAATACTAGGCTTTGTCACTTAAAAAAAAAATCAAAAACACAAAAACACAACTTTACCACTCTGAGAGACGGTAGGTGGTAGAGAATATCTAATATAATTTTCTATTTTATTTAGTATATGGAGCATAATTGCGTCTTGACGAGGCTAAGTAGTGATTCTGACTTCTGTGCTCTGCTCTGTAGAGGTGATCTGCTGACCTGTAGCATAAAAGTCATACTTGAAGAAAGCTTTGTGCCTCAGAACAAACCCTGTGTTTATGAGTTAGAAGTAAGGAGGCTTGGGTTCCGGTTCTAACCAGTCATCTTTCCTTAGGCAAGTGTTATATTCTCAGTAATTTACTTTAAATACCTCAGAGAGCCAGTAGGATGCTTATCTGTGTGCAAGTTAACTTGAGTCTTTGCCCTGAGGATCCTTCCTCTAGAGGCCACTATTGCAAGCACTTCAAATATTGCCTACTAAATCTGTACCGGAGGGTTAATTAATTAGTCTAATGAATGTCGGAAATAATTTTTCACTGATGAAACGAGTAACGTGCAAGATATGAGACAATAAGATTGTAGATGTGTTTATCTGCCTTTTAAAAAATATATTTTATTTTATTTTAATTCCAGTATAGTTAGTGCACAGTGTTATTATTAGTTTCAGGAATACGATATCAATATCGTGATTCGACAGTTGTGTACATCTCTCTGACTTTTTTTGAACAACGTAAGAAATCAGCTCGGTAACAACGTTGCTGGAGTAGTGCCCGGTCTAGAACTCCGTTTGTTCCGGAATCCTCCACTAGCCCAAGGATTTTGTGGCTTGATCTGGCTAGAAGAGTAGCTGATTACGTCATTGTAATATAGGCGCACCTGCCCCAGAGAGAAACTTTCCAGTGAAGGTTCCCGCAGTGTGCCCAAGTGCACGGCGAGGAGGGGACTCCAGTGAGCTTCCAGAAATGTAGGATGGACTCTTGTGGTGCCTGCTTGCTGTGCCTTTCTTGCGGCAGAATTCAACCCAAGACTTGCTTTCATTGTAACATACCTCTGGTGGTTTGGTCGTAGCGAGAGACAGCCCACCACTTCTAACTTAACCTCTTGGAAACTTTTTGCTCTTCTGTATGAGTTGCAAGAGGCGGACTAAATTATTTCTGACTTTCCAATTAGTTCTAAAAGTTCTAGATCATGTGATATAAAGAACATAGCATTAGATTCAGATTGCCTGGCATCTTTATTCAATAGAAAAGAAATATTTATCATATTTAATGTTAATTTCAATGATGTCTAATAGAAAGGGAAGAAAAAGGGAAATTGAAGTATACAGCGGTTAAATAGCAAAGTTCTGCCTCTCTCCAGAATTCGTGCTCTTTCTACTGATGCCCCTGTGTATCATATAGATACAGTAACAGATAATTCTGCTAGGGACTAAATTGTGTCCCCCTAAGATTCCTATGTCAAAGCACTAGCCCCCAGGGTGACTATATTTGGAGATAGGGGCTTTGAATAGGACATTAAGGTTAAATGAGGTCATAAAGGTGGGGCCCTAATTCAATATGACCAGTGTCCTTATAAGAAGAGACAGACATCAGGGCTGCACACGCACAGAGGAAAACCCATGTGAGAGGCTTCATTGAGAAGGTGGCCATCTGCCAGCCCAGGAGAGAGGCCTCCTGGACACCAAACCTGTCGACAGCTTGATCTTGAACTTCCAGCTTCCAGAACTGTGAATAAATAAATTCTGTTGTTTCAGCCCTTAGTCTTTTGTTATGGCAGCCCTAGGGACTAAAATGCCCGCACCTCTGTGGAGATGGGGTAGAAAGATGTTTGAGAGGACAATTTTGGTGAGGCTCCTGCTCAGGAAAATCGAAAGTGGCAGGTTAACTGATTTGCTGAAAGGAATCAGCTACCATAATTTTGAGACTTTAGGGTTTTGTAACTTACATATTCTATAGCGATCAGCACAAAACCTGTATGAAAAGTAACCCTTTAAAGGACCTACCTTCTGTTGGGCAGGGTGCTAGGTAGGATGGTATAAAAAGTCTCCACGGCCCTGAGAGTTCAGTTATCTTTCAGATATCAGGGAAGGGGAGAAGGGTGGGAGAAGGGCCTCAGGAGACGACAGGACACAGGGAGGCATCTCTACAAGGAGAGGAACGCTGGCTGAAGCCCAGGCCTGCAAGCAGGGAGAAAGGAGTGAGGAGCCATGATGTGGTCTGGCAGTTCAAAGCCTGTGGGGGAGGGGTTCCAGAACAACACCAAGAAGGGCCTAGGGGGTGCCTGGGTGTCTCAGTTGGTTAAGCGTCTGCCTTCGGCTTGGGTCATGATCCCGGGATCCTGGGATCGAGCCCCGAGTCGGGCTCCCTGCTCAGCGGGAAGCCTGCTTCTCCCTCTCTCTTTCCCTGCTACTCCGCCTGCTTGTGCTTTCTCTGTCAAATAAATAAATAAATAAATAATCTTAAAAAAAAAAAAAAAAGGAAGGGTCTAGGGACAGGGGCAAAGAGCTGGTAGGTAACAGGGCAGTGGCCCAAAAAGGCATACCCAGGACCTGTGAGGACCCCAGGGAGCGATGGATGGGTGGGGACGGGGGAGAGGAAACTGTAAACAAGGGGAGGGCCCACAGCAAGTTTCACTTGCTTAACAATGTTGCCCTGGGCGGAGCCTTCCTGACCATAATTGTAACCTTACAAGGTGATGCTAGCGAGAATGGAAGCCAACCAGTTTCTCTGCACTGTCCCCTTACCCATCTCTTCCCCTGTAGCCCTCATCTAAGTGTGGAAAGAATCTGGTTTGCTTGTCAAGTTGGTGGAGGCTTTGTCATCTCACTTAACTACCCAGTTCCATGACAGGTTGAAGAGCGTGAGATAAATTGGATACGCTTCAGGGGGCTCCTCAGCCTGGCCAGGAGTTGACACTGCTGTGAAATCAACATAGAACTTACATGCAGTCCATAACCATGGAAATGAGGTTTGCTCCTGATAAACCAACAGGCTCATAGAAGTCAAATGGACTAGCGGCAGATCCATGACCAAGAAGTGTCCTGTGTAATGACGCTTACATGCATCAGACAAAGCGTAATGGTTCTTTCCCTGGTGCTGGCCATGTAACTGTCTTTCTCTGTGAGGAAAGTATCCACGCATCGTGTCTGCCCTGTAGGCAGGAACGAAGGCAGAGAGTGAAGCGAGTTAGAGCATGCCTATGCTCAGAGACCCTCAAGAGACAGATAGCCATTTTGGTCTGTGTGATTTTAACATCAATTGACTTGATAGATTTTTAAGATTCCTTCCAGCACTTTGGTTTTGTGACCCTAATCTCTGAGGAGAATGTTCACTGATGCACAGACCTCATTTCTAACGTGATGTGACACCAGATTGCAAAGTTACATATGATGTTGGACGCATAGCCTTATGTGCCTACTGCAGTGATCTTTCAAAATCCCAGACCAAACTGTAGCTGTTGTTATTGGAATCAGTTTTAATTCCTATCCCCCTCTATTCAATCACAGGTAATCTTTAGATGGTGGAAGATCTCTCTGAGGAGTGAGTATCGATCAACAAAACCTGGAGAAGCCAAAGAGTCTCATGAAGAGTTCCTTGAGAACTCCCACCTTCAAGGTAAGGGAGGGAGCACGTTATGTACTTACTGCTCAGTTCCCTTTAATTAGTGATAGATTTTGTCGCAGAAATATCCAGCATATCATCATTTGAAATATTGATATGTTATTATGTACTTCAAGACAGAAAATTGTTAACATATCCCAAAATTTCTCTTGGGAAAGATCTCCAAGTGTTTAAGATTCCAGGTTGATGTGTCGATTCCATTAATAATCTTAAATTGCATAAATTTAATTTTTTCTTATAACATTTAATTAAAATGACTTTCCTTTAGTTAAAAATAAATTAAAAGGTTATTTGAAAACATAATCAAATTCTCAAATCCGTGAACTCTCATGCATTTGGGCAAAATTGCTACCTTTTCTTTTTCTATTTTTTTTTAAAGGATTTTATTTATTCATTTGTCAGAGAGAGAGAGCACAAGCAGGGGGAGTGGCAGGCAGAGGGAGGAGAAGCAGGCTCCCTGCTGAGCAAGGAGCCCGATCTGGGACTCTATCCCAGGACCCTGGGATCATGACCTGAGCCAAAGGCAGATGCTCAACTGACTGAGCCACCCAGGCGCCCCCATTTCTTTTTAATATCAAGGTTTGCTCAGAAGTAGCCTTAATCAGGTAGTACATGGGCTAAATACAAATTGCCCTCCAGTTTCCCCTGTGCTTTTTGCTTTCACAATATCAAAATTTCAAATAAAAAGCAGGGGTGCCTGGGTGACTCAGTCGGTGAAGTAGCTGCCGTGGGGGGGGGGGCCCGCTTCTCCCTCTGCCACTCCCCCCTGCTTGTG